CTTGAAGTATATTAAAAAATCTTGGGACGCCGTTCAGGGTCCTTTTTGGACCTTGATCTCTGGAAAACTCCTAAACCGTAAGACTTGGAGACAAAAAAATTTTTTCATTCCCGTAACTCATTGTGCCTAACATTTATGGAAAGTTTCGTCAAGGTCGGATGTACGGTGTTGCAGATAATCTCTGAGGGGGGCCCTTAAGACTATCTTATATATCATTGTGTAGGCCGTGAAATTCTCTATCGAATGATGTATAACGGTGAATCTTTGCTCTAGGTGAAACAGGCTGAATAATGTAAATACTCTGAGTACACGTCGTTTAACGCGAGAAGAGTTTTTTTTGCTAAAAGGTTTCAGGGACACTGAGAAGGATTTTTAAGATTTAAAAATATGTTAGCGTTAATCGTGGACAAAAGCTACATCAGACCCGTGAATATGAGATTGATCTGAGAGGAGGTCGATTTTGCCTCTTATCGTCCTCCGTCCTTTTGACTAGACGTTTTATTATTTATTTTAGCAGCCGTCCAAAAGGCTACAAGTACTGTTTTTACGGGTTTTTAGATGTGCTCTTTTCAATGGTGGGTTTACAAAGTTCAAAAGTATTTTATGCAGGTTTTCTAGAGCCTGCTCCCTAGAAAACACGCTTTTGAACTCTGTAAATCTCATCATTGAAAAGAGCATATATAAAAGCCTATAAAAGCAATATTCGTAGGCTTTCGCACTGCTTCTAAAGCATATTTGCACTTTCCTACCGAAAGTTGCCCATTGTGTAGGACGAAACGCATATTTTCTGAGTTCATAACTTCACTTTCTGTAATTATCTGGTGTAGTACACGGGAAAAAAGTACCCTCCTCTAGATATTTAGGCATTTACAGTTTGTGCAGGTTTATATTTTATAGGCTGGTTAGATGTCTAGATTTTGAGATCCACATTAGGAACGTTGTATGGGAAAAAAGTTTCATTGTGGTGTAAGGTAATGTTCGATGGCTGTTGACCCCAGGGAATTGGTTCCACATTATTACGATTTAGAGCCAACAAGTGAATAAAAATAAATTTTTGTACAGCAACAGTAAGTCCTGCAGTATAAGCCTAGCAATAGAATTTCGTTACTCACTCTCATGCTCCTCGTCTGCCAGTTACAGTTTTCTAAAAGGAAAATACCACAAGTGCATCTTAGTCATTATGTGATTTAACTGGATGTAAAAACAGAAGACAGACATCTTAGTCACGTCTCATCGTTCTTCAAGCTAATTGTAATTCATTAAATCAGTGCTGAGTGAGTGCTTGACTTTTAACATTTCGATGGGAAATTCATATGAGTGATTGGATAAATACTACCTCAGTTTCAGATGAATGATTCATGCAGGAAGGAGGAGGAAGTTGAGAAACAGGCCAAAATCGCCGATTTTTCGAGTGTGCAAGTTCCTCCTTTCGAAAACATCTAGGAGGAGTTTCATAAAAGAAGTGACGCAGCTTCGAAAATAATTCGTAGTTATGCTATAGTGAAGTTACTCTCCGCTGTCATCGGTTCAACACATACCTGCTGTACTTGTTGTTGTCATCTTAGACGTAGTACTGAAGAAAAAGGAAGACGAACAATGACTTATATCTGATTGAGCAGCGATTTTCACTCCCCTGCTCTGTACCTCGTTATTATAGCAGCGCTTGAAATTGAAACTGAAAGCTCATCCATTGCAAATTGTGAACCATTTGTAACAGTTAATATTAATGAATCTAAATTAATCCAGTTTAACACGATGACTGTTGCTGGTGGAAGAACTTTTAACAGAAGAGTTTGTGTATAGAGAAGTTCACAAGATCGTTGACCAACAATAGTTAACTGAGTATTGTTAACGAATGTAGCAGCTATAGTAAATGAACTAGTAAACGGAGAGAAGAAAAGAATTTCAAAAAACAGTATCGCTTTCTTATTATAACCTTCGACTTAACTTACCTAATACTGAATACTTGTCCAGTGGCACTCGAATGAATTGTCAATGGTTTTTGATCAACATTGTATCCTACAAATTGTCCTGATTTTAATACTGTATAAAATCCAGTCAGTCGGTAATCTGGTCTTCCTGTTGTATTCAATACTAGTCCATTAGTCCAGTTTAAATTCTTGTACCCATTTGGAATTGTAGTTGTATAGTTCAGAGAACTATTTGGTACATCATCGAAGGTTATAACAAGTGGTGAACTTGACTGACTAACTACGAATAGTAGTTGTAGCCTGTAAACAAGAGGACACGGGTAACCACTAAGTATTATAAAATAATTAACTTATTGAAGTTCTTCAAATATAAATTATCTACCATCGTTTTGAGCAGATTTCTAGTTCATTTTTCTACAAACAACAGGCTATGCTAATTTTATCTACACCTCGACATATGAAAGTCTTTTAACTGAGCTATATAACTTACAATAGGCTTGCATTAGGCTGCATTAGCTATAAGTGGAGCCCTGCAGTTGTCAAGTAAAGAAAAAACTTTACATTGTTTAGGTTGCCTACCATTACATAAGCTTTTTCTTCAACATAAATTTATTTAATTTTAATAATTAAAGGACTTGTTTCGCAATATTTATCCTCATATGTACTAAACAAGGTAACACATCAATATTCTACAAGATATCAAAATAATCTGGACCTACCTTCGATTCATACTTAAAGAGAAATATTCGATAAAAATTTCTTTCCTTCTACTATCGCTAAACGGAACGGTCTACAACAAAACATAAAAGAATCCCAAACCATAGCTATTTTTGTTAAATCTTTGAATACACATATGCAGACTAATTCAACTGTTTAACGACTTCACAAGATTCCGAGAAAAACTTATATCATCTAATACCAAATAAGACCTGAATTTTCGCAGTTAAATGCTGATCTAAAGCATTTATCTGACACACTGAACGGCAATCCTCTTAGTATGGCCCTTCTCTCTCTTAATATACCTCTTGAGAAGGGCACCTATATACCTGTAGTTAAATCCGTGATCGAATACATAATTGCTACCAGACGTTTTAAATATTAAACTAACCATCTCAATTGTTAAGCCCTCCATACTGTTTTTATACCATCCATCTGACCCGTATACGCTTAAGCTTCAGGTTTCTATTAGCAGATCAATATAAACGTCACTTCGTTGCGACACCAAATTGTGCTCATTACAATAAGCTCGAAAGAGCTGAGCATTACTCTGTAAAATGCCTTCGCTTTGTCCAAGAAAGATCTATCTTGTTGAATAATATGAAATTGATTACTTACCACAAACTACTGAACTCATTTTAAAAGGGTCAATTAATCTTACCCCAGAAGAAAACATCCTTATCGTAAATAATGTCCATAAATACATAGCGGACACTAAAATATTCACTTAACTTTTCCTTCTTGTGCTACTCTATTTGTTATTTGTATCTGATATGTAGAGAGGAAAAGTTTCCTTGCATATTACAATCCTCGGTAAATAAATAAAATTAACGTATACTGTTTTTACGCTTTTGCCTAACTTCTGTACAATACTGTAAATTTTAGCGTGCATCATTTTATTCTTCTCGTCTTCTTCCTTACCCAGGTGAAAGACGTCTTACAAGATCTTATAAGATCTGATGATTTCTTATGCAATCTTGCCACAAGGTCTTTCGGTAAGACCTTGTAAGATCTTATCCCAAGATCATGTATGATCTTGCGGAATCTTATAACTTCTTGTCGTAAGATCTTACAAGATCAGTTTATAAGAAATGTTAAGATCTTATAAGATCTTGTAACAAGAAGTTATATGATCTTGCAAGATCTTGTCAGTTCTTGTCAGAAGATCATACGATTTCCTGATACAAGATGTTATAAGATCTTACAAAAAGTGATGACTCATCCGTACCACATAAATTTTACGATATATAGTATATATATATATATATATAACATAGTTCTTATGACAAAACTTAAAATGAGAAAACAAAACACATCAGCTGAGCACAAATAAAGTGCATGGCTATAAGAAACGTGGTTACACACGTTTCCTAAGGGCGTCAGAGTCCTTCATATGCTCGAAAATATTACGAAAATAAACAGATTTTTTTTATAGAGGGGATCTACGGGACAGAACCAGAGACCTAATCTTGTAAGATCTGATGAATTCTTATCTGATCTTATGAAATCTTTCAAGATCTTAGCATAAGATCTTGCTGCAAGAAAAATCTTGTGGAATCTTATAAGATTCTTGGATCAAGATTCTTGTGAAATCTTGTAAGATCTTGTAAGATTTTCATATGATCTTTCAGATCTTGTGAAATCTTATGGTATCTTGTAACACGATCTTACAAGTTCTTGTTTGATCCTACAAGATCCTACTGCAAGATTCTTCGCCCTGGATACACACTTTTTCCTTCTTTGTCTCTTATTTTTCGTGCTTATTATCCGTAATAGCTTATATCATTTACCATGTCATTTTTTCCGGTGAAATAATGGCGTAGGTCGCATCTGTGTAGAATGACTATCATTATTTCTCTTTCTTAAATGAATAAAGTTTAAAATAACACGGGAAACTATTCTTATAATTCTCAGTTACCGAGCGATTTGAACTATCTAACTTACACTGTTACCAGTAAATTAATAAATGACATAGTTTACATTTGAAGATTAGAAGATAAATGTGATCTGCCTCTTCTTTTAATTGTCGTTTTTATATACTTAACTTATTCGGAGTGCTTTCGCTTCGATAATTATGTTTACATAAGAAGCTCCTGGTACTTTTATTAGACAAAATAAAAATTACTATTTAGATTTGTTTTTCTAGTTACTTCTATTCAAATATACTGAATGGTTTCAACAGATGATTAAAATTATAATGACTTTATTTTTTCGAAAAATGTCTTACACTAAATATTCTTTTTCTGAGAAAATTGTCATGATTTCTTCTTCAATAGAACTAGTTGTCGTTGCTGTTGTTATTTACACAAATATGATTTTCAAAGAAATGTATTTTTAATTCGATTAGGTTATTGATAGAGGTAAGAAAAAGAATAATAATAATTAAAACTGCGACATTTAGCGCTTACATAAATAAATAATATGAATCAGAGCGTTCATACGGTTCACTGACTGTAATTAATTGAAATTATAGTCGACATACACACACAGACAGATACAAAAAAAAGTACATTTTGCCTGGCGAAAGTTATAAGAATCAAATCGTATTTTTGTTATTTTTGTATAAGAGCGCTGGTAGGTTGACTGGAAAAACATACGAGCAGATAGAGGAGCTGATTCTGAACATTTTTATTAATAAATTTCGAGAAATGATCTATATTTGGATACATAATTTTATTATGTATGCTTCAACAGCGGTTTGCAAAATCTGTCAATTTGTCGATACGTTTTCATCCTGCTATCCTGATACTCATCTGTCAATATCAGCAATTCCGCTGCGTACTAAAACGTCGTCTCAAGGAGATATTCATGAGCGTGCCGATAAATTTAACGATTTATTATGTGAATTAAAACAATAAAAATTAAAGGACAAAATTCATTTCGTTATTATCGCATTTGATATAAAACAGCAACATTTAAATGCAGATGGAATCCATTTGAACTCTACAAAATCAAGTGCTTACGGACACGTTTATAAAATACCTTTCTTCAGTTTTTCATATATAGCAATTTGGCGCGTGTGCCAGACCAGGAGCCTGCCTATCGAGATGCTTTAGGTGTGTGTGTCTCTGCTAGTTTGTTTGATTCTGGTGCAGGCGTGCCTTCTGCCTCTAAACTTCCTTCTCTCTCCACTCTAAATCCACATGCCTCGCCTTTTGTGCCTCAACTTTTCCGCCAACTTAAAATCTTAAGCCATAACATACAGAGTCTTTCATTACATCTTGATGCAGTCAAACAGTATACCTTTGAACACAATCTGGGGATTCTATGTTTTCAAGAAACGTTTCTATCATCAAGCATTTCTGATATCGACTATAAAAAACTATTCCCTGTACAGATGCGATAAACACCGTGGACGAAGAAGAATAGCAATTTTCGTTCGAAACGATGTACTGTTGGAACGCTTTTAGTGCCATTCGGTGGCATTCTTTGTGTGTGACAAAAGCACGCTTTGCTCTCATAATTTTGAAAGTGTGCTAGAACCATGCCATTGGTATACTTTGACCGTGCCTCCAGTACATTTGTTCCATGCAGTGTTTTTAACATTAAGCGTACGCCTTTGTTCCAAAGCGTACGGTACGCGAACTAAATTGAAAATACGCTTTGAGTTTCGTAAGGGTTTAAAGAAAAAAAATAGCATTTGACTACTTGCTTTTAATCGGTTTATTTTTAGACAGAAATGAAATGTGAAAACACCGAAAATGCCGTTTAAAACACTCGATAATTTTATTTTGAAACCATCATCACAAACCACAACATCTTCGACAATCACATCACTTCGGGCTCAAACTGATCAAGATGAAGTTGAAAACTAATAAATAATTGTTGTTAACCAATAAATAATTACGATCATTCAACGGCAACTTTGACTGTGATTCTGATAAAATCGGTGGCATCCATTGATTTTCAAAGCGTTCCAACAGCACATCTCTCCTGACGGCACGGAACAAATATACTGGAGGTACGGTCAAAGTGTACCAATGGCATGGTTGAAGCATGCCGGTTAATTTTTTACCGTTCCATCGGCACATTTATTCCATGCCGTCATATGACAGCAAACGGCAAAAGACGATAAATGAGAAAAGACGATAATCACGTTTTGCGGAGGATGAAGGTAAAGATAAGTCATCACGAAAATCGGTGGTAGCTTATCCTTCGACGTAACAGCAAAAATTGAAAGGTGATAATGACAACCGTAGTTACCGAACGTTATTCAAACTAGAAGTACGAAATTCGTTAAACCCTCACCAACTTCTTTCTGTTCTTCATAATATTTACTCTGCTTTCAATGGAAAAGAATGTTGTTTAGCTGTTTTTCTCGATTTCTCCAAAGCGTTTAAGGGGCGCTCCCCCCCCCCCTCAGGAATCGTTTTCCGTTATTCGTGGGCCGATTTGACTGAAATTTTCAGGAAATATGTGTATTGCGTTAAATTAATTTCTGGCAAATTTTTGATTCATAAGACTTTTGTTTTAACGAGTTATTGACAAATTAGTCCTCAAAATGGTGGTCTTCGTAAGGTACTTTTGTTTTGTGTGATAAAAATCATTACAAGTTAGCATTGGGTCAATTAAGTATAGCAAAGAATTTAATTGATAATTAAATAATATTATGCGTAAATTAGTTAAAATATTGTTTTCCACTATTTGGTTTGGCTTTTAGTGTTGCTAAAGATTATGCTTGAATGATGAAATTTGCAGATTCACTATATCGATACAAATGTTTGAAACGCGCTGCGTTAGGAAGGTAATGAAGTACATAGACATGTGAATGGTTGCAATAAACGCTTGCGCCGCAC